TTTTTTTTTTTTTTTTTTTTTTAAATCTCCTGTGCTATCTTTGGGATGGTTCTTGTTTCCGCAGGTCTTAGTACTAGTGCAGGGGTGTCCATCTCATGGTCCACATGTGGCCAATCATTGTTATGCACACTGCCTAATATAAAGCCACAAACTTACTAGTAGGCATGTTTAAAACACACACACACACACACACACACATGCACGCACACACACACTTGTAACTCAGTTGAGCCATTTTTGAGCATGGACTTTGGAGAGGATGACAGTATATCCCAATGGCATGGAAAGCAGATGTCTGGGTGCATCATGCATGCCATTGAAACTTCTGCCCAGTAGGAGATGAAACCTAGGAAACAAAGTTCTTGTGTTGGGTCCTTTTTATTGCTGTGCTGAACACCATTGCTAACAGCGATGAGGGAAGGACCTCACTGTAAGATCTGCTATGCTGAACCTGCTAGAAGAAACAGTAGGGACTGTGCTTGAACTGTAGGCACAGGAAAGGACTGTTGGAACAAGAGCCCAGTAATGCAGGTACTAAGACTGACAGCTGATAGGTGGGACCACCAGAAACTTAAAAGCTTCTGTACAGAAAGTGAGTATCTAGATTATAAAAATTACTCAAAAACTTAACCACAAAACAAAAACAGTGATTGGGCATGGAGTAGAAAGTTCTCAAAAGATGAAATACAAATGACTGAGAAATAAATACTTTTTTAATGTGTAAATCCTCAGCCACCAGGGAAATGCAAATCAAAATTACTTTGAGATCCCACCTTAGCACAGTCAGAAGTACTAAGCTCCAAGCACAAATGACAGCAAATGCTGGTGGGAGTGCAAACTGGTCCAGCTACTATGGAAGTCAGTGAGCTTCCTCCAAGCTGGACTAGCTGCACCCTATGAAGGAGGCTGTAATAGTAATACACTGTGTTAAAAGTTGGAGTTACAGGAGCGTCATAGCTCCAGTTTTAAATGCGGGTGTGTTGGCTGCCAGTCGCTGAAGCAAAGCTTGCTGGTAGTTGCCATTAGGCGGGACTTCCCTCTTTGTTTCCTTGGATGTTTGGAACATTATATTTCCAAATGAACATGTTAAAAAAACTTAATAAATCACAGAAAATGCTAAAGATTTATTTTTTCAGTTTTTCTTTTTAAAAATACTTTAGCATTTCCCCCTCTGCCCCTGCTTTTCTCGGTCTTTTTTTTTTTTTTTTCCGTACGTGGTTTAAGAAAGAGGCTTCCAATACTTAACCTTTATGTGGAGTGTCCTGCACACCTGAAAATAAGGCAAATAGTTCTTGTTAAAAATCTTAACATCATGTTTTACATCTATGTCTTCAGAATGGAGATTGGAAAACTGGAAGAGGCGAGACGTTGATCAGGTATCTATTTAAATTTAATTACTTTCTTTTTTATAAACATTTAGAGGAAAATATGCAGAAATAGACTGTAATAATAGAAGTAGTGGTAGCAGCAAAGAAAATTTCCAACATATTTCTGTGAAGCAGACTACTTGGCGTGCAAGTGTTTCGGCCTAACCTTCTTGTGCCAATTAAAACAAAGAAACAAAATTCATACGGGTCGTTGAGCTGGCCAAGTGGATAAAGTACTTGAATCATAAGCCAGAGTCCAGCCCCCAGCACCTAAGATGGGCAGAAACGCACTCACTCTACAGGGTGTCCTCTGATCTCTGTGAACGCTCCTCTCCCGGCCTCCATCATACACACAGTAAATACTAAAGAACGTTTTAAACTCTCAATTGAAAATAAGAAGACTCCATTCAGGGGGCTCAGGTGAGCAAGAGTTCTTGTTAAGAAAGTAAGATCTGAGCCGGACAGTGGTGGCACATGCCTTCAATTCCAGCACTTGGGAGGCAGAGGCAGGTGGATCTCTGTGAGTTCGAGACCAGCCTGGTCTACAAGAGCTAGCTCCAGGACAGGCTCCAAAGCCACAGAGAAAAACCCTGTCTTGAAAGACCTGAATATCAATCCCTGCGTGGCTTCTTGTGCCTGTAACCTTAGTGTTGGGAAGTGAAGATCAGCAGGTGCCAGGAGCTTCCTGAACAGTCAGCCTGCTCAGCAGGCAGCAAATTTCTGGTTCCGTGTGAGAGACCCTCTCTCAAAGTGCAAGATGGAGACCAATAGCAGAAGACACCTGCAAATCCTTCTTTCACCCCACTATGCCTGCATGCATTCCTCCAGGTACACGTGTGTGCACCACACCTTCCACCCCAAAAGCTCCTTCCAGGTAACCTTTATAGGGGAGTTATTTTGTGTCCTTGCTGGTTTGTGTGTCAATTCGACACAAGCTAGAGTCATCAGAGGAAGGAGCCACAGTTGAGGAAATTCTTCGATGAGATCCAGCTGTAAGGTATTTTCTCATTTAGCAATCAGTGCGAGAGGGCCAGGCCCATGGTGGGTGGCGCCATCCCTAGGCAGGTGGTCCTGGGTTCTTTAAGTAGGTGGGCCAAGCAAGCCATGGGAAGCAAGCCAGTAAGCAGCTCCCCTGCATGGCCTCATTAAGGCTCACCATCATTGGGATGTGAGTATGAAAGAGGCAGGTAGCTCGTCTTCTAGGTCATGTGCAAGGTGACTTTTTTTTTTTTGTTAAGAAGGGTAATTCATGGTTTTGGGTTTCAGTTTCATGTTTATCCTTAGAAAACCTGTTTCTAGCTTAATAAAAATAATTTTTTTCTTTTAGGACCAATACATGATACCCAAGAAAATGAATATAAATAGCATTAAAATATCAACTTACTAACATATAATTTAAAAAGTCAGTCAAACGACCAGAAATTGCTTGAGGACCCTAAAATAAAAACATCTTTTATTTGTAATAAAAGTAGGTCTTAGTCAGAAACTGAATGGAGAGTTTTACTTTCTGAATCCCTAGTCTATTGAGTAATATTCCTGGTGTACATCTAAGTTAGATAAGGTTCAGTAGTGGCCACTTGTGCCTGTGTGAAGGTGGGTAGTTTTGAGGAAAAGCAGACAGCTGTGACCTGGGCTCTGAAAGCATTATATGACCAAATGTGAAGTTAGAACTGTAAGACACTCTAGTGAAGGCCCACGTCCACAAGAGAGGGTGGGATGTATTTGTCTGGGAAACTCTGCTTAGCAAAGGTTTCCTGGGAACTTTAGGATTGAGCTGAGATTGAGGAATAAGCCAGAGTAAGGAGGCCAGAGCAGCAGCAGGCTTTCCAGGGAGAGGGCGGGCCTGAGTACAGATCGGTACAGAAGACACTTCCTGTGTTGGACGTCAGGCAGACACAGTCAGGTACAGGTCTGGGAGAGCATGGCACACCTTGGGGACTTAATTTCAAAAGCTTGAGGAAGCTCTTGAAGAGTGTGTGTGTGTGCTCACATGCGCACAAGAATCCCTCTGGCTTCAGGATGAGTAGATGAGATGAGTGAGAGAGACAAGACTTAGGCAAGGGTTTGAATACCATCAGTATTCTGGACATGGCGTAAATCTGGGAGCAGCCTTTACAAACTCTTAGCTTAGGAGCAGAGAGGTACTTAAAAAGGAGCCCCAATGAAAGGGAAGGAACCAAACGGGTGTCAATGGGACCAAGAAGAGAATTTATCCCAGTGCCGAGGAGGGCAGCAGGTGCAGCTGCCCTTCATCGCAGGGTGTTCCGGCTAGGAACATCGGAGTTTAACTCATTCAGTCGTGCCATCCCTTTGTAAGGGAGAAGCAGATATTTAACTGATGAGGACTGCTGAAGTCTGCAGAGCTAACAAGCCAGGATTTGAAGGTGTCTCTTCCAGCTTTTACCTATTTTTACTACTTGACAACTTTTAAGGACTGCTAGAACACAGCCACTTCAATGTAGGAAGGTAGAATCTGTTCTCTCCCTTTGGCGAGCTGAGCTGTCTCTGGGTGATCGTGGTCCAAGCAGTCCCTGCAGTGCAACTTGGGTTCTTCTCCCTTCCCTGGCTGGCCAGACTTCCTTCTGAGGGCTTGCTCCTTCATGCTTGTGCACAGTCCTCCTGTAAAGACCTCCGCCCTTTCCTTTATGACCACCAAAGCGTTCTTTTGCTTGATACTCAATAACTTACACAAACTGTTCAAGTTCTTAGCGCAATAGGACAAGTAGGTTTTGATTTTGTTTTATATTGATGACCTTTAATGGTTACATTTCAGATTTATTTTTTCATAAGTTCAATCATTTCTAAAAAATGGCATTTAAAGACACTGATATATAATAATGTATATAAATGTTTGCAGGTTTTTGATTATAATCAGTATGGTGATGGTCCAAATACAGTTGTATGTGGGGATGCAATTTGCTGGTTTCTACATGCAGACTTACTGGAATTGAACTCTTCCATTCTAGGCTGACATTGCACCCCTGATGGCGTCTCTTATTGGTGTTCCCTTTCCTCTTAACTCGGTGGTAAGGAATGACACTAATTACCAATACTCCTTATAAAAATAAAATTTACTTTTCATGTGCTTTTCTGTAATCCTTAGTTATATTTTAAAAACGGTATTCCTTCCTGCTTATTTATATCTAAATAGGTAATATCTCATAATTGAGTGTAAACTATATAACATGGAAGAAAGCTTTTAAATGCTTTATTTCTTTAAAAACTATGTTTTTTGAAAATTATTATAAAAAGTGAAATATATGTATATATACAGTTTTAAAGGGAAAATTTTTGAAAATATATTGATGGTTTGCTGGACTACATAGATTATGTTTGGAAATCACCAGGAACCAAGAGGGCCTGGCATGGCTGTGCTGCTCAAGGCACCAACCCTTGGGTAGAACAAAATTATACTTGTAGTTGCTGCTTTCTGAGTCTCAAGACCTGAATCTAGATTGCCTGGCTTGTCACAGAGGAGGCCAGCGCTCTGATTCCTGTCCACCATATTCCATCCAGTGGGGAAGACCCTCAGCAGGAAGTAGTAATGCTGTTAAGAATCGGCGTGAATGGTGAAAACCAAAACATAAAGTAAGAAATACTCATCATACTTACTCACAGCCACACTTACTTGGTTTTCAACATTGAATTCATGTTAAAATGGAATAAGTCAGAACTGGAAGTGGTAAGCTAGCTCTTGACTGCCATAAGCGTAGTGCGTGAGCGAGTGCATGCAGGGAACAGTCTCTCCGTTGGTTTATGTGTGTCCTGTTTATATCCTTATAGCCAAGTATTGTAGCTGTGACCATTACAGTGCTTATTCTTCGTGTAGCAGCGTGCTGCCCAACATGGATGAATTAGTCAGCTTCCCATTGCTATAAAAAATTTCCTAGATAATCAGCTTACTGGGGAAAAAATTTAATTTTGGTTCACGGCATTAAAGGTTTCAGTCTGCCGTGACACATTGTGCGGGAGTATGTGGTAGACCAAAACCAAAACTGCTTGCCTTGTGACAAAGATGTAAAAAAATCCAAGATTCTTGTAAGAGGGTGTGTCCCTAGTGACCCAATGGCCACCCCGAAGTTTCTGTCACTTCTCATTAGGTCTTACCTCCTCACGGGTCTGTCTTCTTCCCATAGTACCAAGCTCCTTAGGGAGCATTTGGCGTACAAGTCAGCAGTAGTCTGCCAGTGGTAGATTTGATTTGATTTTAACCAGTCTCATTTGTTTATTTAATTCATTATTTTTGAATGTGAGAAATTTTTTTCATTTATGGTTTTAAATATTTTGTTATTTAATCCAGAAATTTATTTGTATCTTTTTTGTTTCTTTTTTAATTTTTTTTGTGTGTGTGCGTGTGTGTGTGTGTGTGTATGTGTGTGTGTGTGTGTGTGTGTGACTGTCCTGTGTTCACCTGTTCAGGTATGTAAGTTACTCAACACAGGTGCTGGAAACTGAGTCCTCATCCAGGGAAGGAGTAGCAAATGCCCCTAACCACTATCATCATGCACTCGTTTTTATTAAGTTTTTTTCTTTAATGCTTTGCATTTGTGGGTTAGTACTTGCTTGGGTATTGATTTAACACATTAGGGCCTGGTGCTCTCAGAAAGCAGAAGAGGGAGTCAGAATCCCTGGAACTGGAATTAAAAGTTGTGGGTGCTGGGAATAGAGCTCTCAGGTCCTCTGGAAGAGCACCAGTGCTCTAACCCCTGAGCATCTCTGCAGTCCCACAGCAAGTGCTCTCAACTGTGCGTCATCTAACTTTTGTTTTTTCTATTGAAACAGAATGTCTCTCCAGCTCAAGCTGGCCAGGAACTTGCCATCAGCACCTTGACCTCCAAAGTGCTTAGTTTACAGGTTGTACTTGTTTTCCAATCAGAACAGCAGTCTTTATCAATACTTGTTATGTTTTATTTTTTAGGGGACACTTCCTGTGGAGTATCTTAACAACACTGGTCTCTTCAAAGCAGAGAGCATGCTCACCAATGCAGTGCAGATTCTAGAACAGTTCAAGGTGAGGACAGTAAACACATGAACTGTATATAAATTCTAAACATGTTAAGTAAAATATTTGATTTTATATTTTAATTAATGATTTCCTATAACTTAGGATCTTGGTTTTTGAATATTTGCTTTATGTCATAAGTAAGTGAAAAAAGGAAAAGGGAAAGGCAAGGCCACGACTGCTCCAAGGTCTGGTGGAGGAGGAGGTTATTGTAGATACTTGGGAGAGTGTATCCAGGGGCATCCGGGAGAGTCCAGAGTAGCCTTGTGAGGAGAGGGGAGGGGAGGAAGAGGGAGGGCAATGTACCAAAGGGGCGGGTAGCCAAAATGTCTGGATTATATAGGGGAGAGTCTCTGGGGGAAGGACAGCCCAGCCCCTGGGCTGGAGAGTGAAGCATAGAGGGTGGAGTACACCAGCCATGCCCTGTAACTGCTGGGAGAACCTGGAGGCCTGGTCTACTTGAATATGTTAAATAGGCACCTCAGCCATTGTCCTGGGTGTGAGACCTAACAATGAAGTTTTTATTTCTAACGTACAGGTTTTATGGGTGAGTTGGAGGGCACAGAATTGCCTTTGAGTGTCATATTAGATTGTCATATATCCATATATCTGGGCCTCATTTATTGGAATATGCCCGAAAGAAGTAGACTAGAGATCCAGCATTACAGGGACGATTCTCTGATGTAACTTTGCCTTACTTCCTTTTCAAAGAGTTAAGGAAAAGTCATTTCTGCAAGATTGATGTACTTAATTCTCATCTTACTGAGATAGTAAAATATTATTTAATTTTTCTTTAAATATTTATTAAACTATAATATAGTAACACAAAATCCCATTTATTTCCAAAGAAATTAATCATCCCCGAAGAGCCACTTCGATTGATATTTATATTTCAGAATGAAATTCATTAGTTTTTCTCATTTATAATTATTATTTTCATGCTTGGTTCCCAGGTGAAGATGACTCAGAAAAAAGAAGTTACTTTGCCATTTTTGTTTACACCATTTAAGTAAGTCTTAAATGTTTTTTATTAGCTCAAAGGAAAAAGATTTCACGAGTTTGATGCCAATGAGATAGATTAATTTATGTATAAACATTGTCTTTTTTTGTGTGTAGCAAACTATGCCAAACTGAAGTCTTCTACTGTTACTTTTGCTAACATTGAGCCAAATATTATCTACCTCTGCGTGGCTGAGGAGGAGACAGGGACGGGAGCACTGTCGTGGTTTTATAGAAAGATGTCCTGCTTACTTCTTTTTTTCTCTCTTAGAAAACAAACAAACAACAACAAACCAACAACCCTCTCCCCCACCACTGTCTTAATTAGAGTTTTTATTGTTGTGAAGAGACACAATAATCACAACAACTCTAATGAAGGAAAACATCTAATTGGGGTGGCTTACAGTTTCAGAGGTGTAGTCCATTATTGTCATGGTTGTATGTAGGCAGACATGGTTTTGGAAAAGGAGCTGAGTCTTTCCTATCTTGATCTGCAGGTAGCAAAACTGACTTTGTGCCACACTGGGCTTAGCTTGAGCAGAGAAGACCTGTAAGCCCTTCCTCACAATGACACATTTTCTCCAACAAGGCCACACCTCTATGGCCAAACATTTAAACACATGAGTCTTCAGGGGCCATACCTATTCACACCATCATCCCCCCCCAAAAATTCACAGCAAACAAAAACCTCCAACAAAACAAAAAAAGTTATCAAGTGGTATTTTATTTTATTTTTTTTTATTTTAAAAATTACATACTCAAGGTCATGAGTTTGAAACTGTCTGAGCAGCGGCATACTGAAGTTGCCATCTAAAGAAAGAAATTTGAAAAATAGACTTTAATCTTTGATACAAACCAAGTAGAATATACATCGGGATAAAGAATACCATTGAGAATAAAAATAAAGCATAACATAATGGAATATGTGCATTGTGGAAAAAAGCTATAAAATTTACTTTAGGTCATAATAAAATATAAATAAATATTGAGTAGTCTTGTTAAATGTCATAAAATATTAACACTAACCTAAAATTTACTAACTAAAGAATAATTTTTTATGTGGTTCAAGATGTTTCTCAAATTTTATAGAAAGAGATTTACAAGAATCACTTAACTAATGCTGAGAAAAAACCAAGATAAAGAGCTTTTCTTTACTAGACAGCAAATGCATTCTAAAGTTACGAGGCAGCGTTGATACAAGTATAGCATGCAGTTACGCAGACTGACTTGGTACCATGTCGTTTTTGGTTTTGATTACAGATGGCATTTGAGCTCAGGCGGGAAGAGACTTACACACAGCACGTTTTCTTTGTCCTGCATAAAATATGGCCTGGTCCTCTACCTTAAGCCAGTCATACATCAAATTCAACATTGGTTGAAAAGGAAATAAAATGGTTCTTAAAAAGCAAAAATGTGACTCCCATAAAGAAAACAAAATATGTCATAAGAAAAAGACAACTTGAATATATCAGCATTAAATGTTGTGTTAGATAAAATAGACCATATAGATTAAGTCATTCTCAGATTTGTAGAAACTATTTATAGACTATGTAGCAGGCATTATGGTTTATGGTCTATGGAGGATTGTATCCATCAGGTCAGGGAAGTAACTCAGGTGATAGAGTGCTTCCTGTTGGAGGCTGAGGAGCTGAGTTTATTTTCCAGAACCTATGTTAAAAAGTAGAAAAGGTAAAGAGGCCAGTTGTGGTACTGTGCGTTTGCACTTTTAGCACTGTGGAGCTGGATTCCTGGGGCCTGCTTTCAGTTCTTCTAGTGAGAGACCTTATCTCAAAAACAAAATATGGATGCAATACCAAGATTGACCTCTGCCCCTCATCCCCCATGTACACTCCCCAACACACAAAAAAAATTATACAGCATTAGGAAAAAATTTTACCTTAAAAATGGAAAATTATGCCCAAAATTCACAAAAGAGAATGTGTAGATGGTTGTTATGAAAAGAATGTCCACCTCGTATTATCCCCTTTGTGAAGCAGTTCCTAGTATTTCCCTATTTTACAGATAAAGAAATTACAGCACAGCAAAATGACTTGGGTGAGATATCTGACCCAATTCTAATCCTAACCTATAACCAATGAATGGCTCCACAGCCTGCTGGACTCTTAACTGTGTTGTAGGGTGGTTGCCTAATACCAGCACATACCCACACTCTGTCCAACAGGTTTACTTTTGACAGTGTATTTAATACCAGCACATACCCACACTCTGTTCAACAGGTTTACTTTTGACAGTGTGTTCTGAGATGAGTAATTCTATGTGGCGGTGTCCTTGTGAGCCAGTTTGTGGCAGTGTGTGGAGAGTGAGGTAGTAAGCACGTATGTACTTGATGAGAAAGTTCATAAGTTAATTGAGAAAAATAAGGATTTACCTGCGGTACATTATATAGTGAACCTTAAAATATATATGCCATATATTGTGATTGCACAGGAAAAGCATGAAATATACATGCCAAGCTAGTAGTATCATGAGGATATTAGCTAGCTCTATAGTGAGAATTTATTAGTTTAGTAAAGGTAAAAGAACCAGGTATATACTATACTGAAAATTATTTTTCTAATAATTGGGGAGTTGTGCATGACATAAACTAAATTATATTTTAAAAGAATCTTTACTTTTATGTATTAAAGCTTCATTCCTGTCTTGAAGTATTCTGAAAAAGTAATATTTGAGAACAGTAACTATATGTGTTAGCCTGGCATTTAGTGTTCAGTATATCCAAAAGAACATTGATTGATTACTAGTACCCAAGTGCAAGGAGACATTTTTGTTTTTATTAAATGCAATAAATGTTCTACTTTATATCATCGGCTTCTTAATAACATCTGTGTACAGAGAACGACATCATCTTGTAAGCTGTATCAAAGGAGCATTGTCTTACATAGAGTATGAGGGAAAGCTTGTGGCTTCCATCCTTTTAGGGAAATGACATTGTCTGAAGGTGTCTTTCCTTCATCTTCCCGTCCCTGTTGCTCAGCAGTGTGTCCTTCATGGCACTGACTTCCTTCCTTCAGTATTGGCACCTGATCATTTGATAAGCTCTAGGTTTTTTACTTACATAATAGATTTACAGCATCAGTAAGTTTTTGTCTGAAAATTTTTATCTGTATAGCTATGAAGAATCTATTAGATTTCTGTCCTGCCCGGATCCCGCAGTTGTTAAGTCCCAAATTAATTATAAACTGATTGGCCTAGTATCTTAGGCTTCTTATTAACTCTTAGACTTACATTAGCCCATAATTTTTGTCTGTGTTAGCCACATGGCTTGGTACCTTTTTTTGGTGAGGCAGTCATACCTTGTTTGGTCAGTGTCTGGATGATGACTGCAGACTGGAACTTCCCTTTTCCCAAGATTCTTGTTGCCCCACCTCTCCTTCCTGCCTGGCTCCTGGTGAATCAGCATTTATTTAAAATACAAGTGGCGGGGTAAAAGCCCGTTGTCCCACAGCAAGGTAGCAGAATAGCAGAGCTTTAAAACAAAAAATAAGATTGCTGAGGTCTTACGTATATTTTAGATATTTTAAAGAGTTCAGTTAGTTTTTACTATAATTGCATATTCTGTTTTATACTAAATAAATAGTTTCATACTGAGTTACAAATAACTCTTGGGGGGGAAGAATAAAAGTTATGAAACATTTCTTTTGACAAATAGAATAAAATCTACAGGCTAAAATTGGGTATTGTGAATGCTGAGTATATGCCAAGGTGTGACCAGCAGGTGGCGCTGCATGATTAAGAGAAATTTGAAACCTTTCCTATACTGCCCTCAGAAGAGGAGAGACACCTTGTGTCCCCAGGGCTCACTTTTTCTGGGTGTGTGTGGATTTGTGATCCAGCCCTGGGCCTGAGCAGGAAACTTTGTGTCAGTCCAAGGTCAGCCTGGCACACACAGGATAAGCCTGTCTCAAAACAAAATCTGAAGGGAAATGGGAAGGAAAACTTAGGCTTCTCATAAGAGGCTGTGTTGGGCAGTGGATCTGGAAAAGGCTGTACACCTGCCCCAGAAGAATAAGCATTTGAATGCCTTTTTCTCCTTTTGAAATTCATCGTGAAAAATTTAAAAATATAAATTTTATTTAAAAAATTCAATGTGTTTTTCTCTAACATGGTATTACTTTCTTTTTATATATTTGCTTTCTTGGGCTCATAAATGTGGAAATTCCTCACTCAGGTTACATTTATACACTGTTTTTGAGGAGCCTTTCTTTGCATCACCAATATGCTTTACTAACCATTTACGAGCTACACTGTTTCCTCTCTAAAACTGAAGTCCATCTTTTAAAAATATTTTTATTATTTGGGAATTTCATATCACAAACCCTAATCTTCCCAGTTCTCCAATGCCTATACCCCATCCTTATGGCCTCTTCCAACAAAGAAGAAGGCGACTGAGCAATTATGGCACACTCCTTTAATCCCAGCACTTTTGAGGCAGAGGTAGGTGGATCTCTGAGTTCAGATACAGCCAGGGCTACACTGAGAAACCCCCATCTCAAAAGAAAAACAATAGGAGGAGAAGAAGAAAGAGAAGACAAGTCCAATTTTTGTTGCCCGTACTGGAGCGTGGCCCTTCATTACCTGCAGCCTCGCAGAAGCCTTCAGTCATGGAGAGCTCTGCTTCAGCACCCTTACCACACTTTTAGAGTGCTCCCTGATGAGTTTCTGTCTAGGCTGGCACTGTTTATGGTGCAGGGGAGACAGGGCTGTCACAGAAGCCGTCTGTGTCTCTGTCTTTCAGCTTTGAGACTGCAGTCACCAGTACCGCTGCAGAAGTAGCTTCCTTGCACGTCACTTTCAACAGGAACACGGGTTGTGCACTTCTGTCAGGAGTGGTTCTCATGAGCTGTTGGGAGCCTTGACGCAATTACAGCTCCTAGCAATGGGTAGTTCAGGTGTTGACCCACCAGAGGAAGTATTCCCTGATGGGGCAGCCCGTCAACAAGGCTTGTGGACCAGTAACTCTGAAAACCACTGCTTCCATCTGTAATTTTG